TTTGGACCTACATACCTTTGCAATGTGACAAAACTTATAACAAAATTAACATTGGACCCGTTGATTGTTGCTTTTTGTTGTATTCTGCTGGGTGAATGAATTGTTATTCGGGGCAAAAAATTGCTTACGAGAGTTGTAGGAACCTGATGGAGTAGTGTTCCTATGATTGGAAGAGTTAGGCTGTCTAATTTTGGGACCATTATTGGTAGAATGCTGATGAAGTTGAGCAGTGATCATGGGTGTGTCGACCTTAGGTTCTAAGTGTTTGATGAACATCTCTTGTGCAAGGAGCTTATCAATGAGCTTCGAATGTGATATGATTATCGCGTGCTCTTATTACTGCAAATAACTCCTTGTACTCGGGACCTAGACCACTCAAGACCTTAATGACAAGTTCTTCGTTGTTAACGGGTGAACCGTTGCAGAAGAAATCATCTGCAATGGACTTGATTTCTCTCATATAATCACTAATTGAATATGCGTTGATGAGTCCACAATTTGGGCTTATTTAAGGGTATATTTTAATAGAATTAGTGTCCTTAAATGCATATTTTTTCTCAATAACTGATGTAAACCCTTGAGTATCAGTTATTTGGAATTAGAGACAACACATGGACACTATTGGGCAAAATGGAACAAAGAAAGCCTTAGGAATGAATTAAAAAAGGCCTGATGATTGATGATGTCGATCAACGAATCGCCAATATCATTCAGCAAAACGCCAAATAGCCAAGATATCGCCTAAAGTTACAGAATGCTGGAGCTAAAATGGGGGCAAATTCGGTGAGCAACAACCATATATTCGACGTATCGCCGATCTAGTCGGCGAAGGAGAACCAGGTCACCAAAAGTATGAGAAGATACAAACAAGTGCTGATAGGAGAGATGGAAGGATAATGGGAGAATCACAGAGTCATTCGGCGATACCGACCTAGATCGCCTAAAGTTACAGTAGCCAGACCAAGAAAAAGCAAAAAATGAAGGCGAGATGAAGAGTAATCGGCAAATCGCCGACCCGTCAGCGATAGTCGACTTACTTCGCCGAGTAGCCCGTAGCAGTGACATTTCAGAGTTGTTAAATTAGTTTTGGCGAGAGAGAGGAATTCATTCAAAAAGGGAAAAGCAAATTATTTAGAGAGAAAACACTACCAAAGGGTTGGGGGAGCGATTCTAGCAAGATTTTGGAGAGATTTTGTAAGAGAGAAGATTATCAATTGAATTTCATCTATAATTCTCATTTTGTACCCAACTATGGGAGTGATAATTAATTTTGATCTTTTTATTTTTGAGATGAGTGGCTAAAACACTTTACTTAGGGTTTTGATCATGAAGCCAATTGTTGAATTTACTTAATGGGTGTTTGTTAATTGCGAAGAATGGTGCTAATTTGAATTGGGTCTAAGTTGTTGTTGTGTTTTGAGATTGATTTGCGTTACTTCGTGTGCCAATTTCAATGTTGTGCACTTGCTCGAGAAAGAGGTGTGAGACCAAAGTGTCAATCTTAGCGTCCTTAGCAGTGCGTTTCTTTAGTTTCAGCTCGAGAGAGTGAAAAAAGGAACCCTTCCTTTTTATCTAGCTCGAGAGAGTGGATTTAATGAGGGTAAAGAGATGGGTTTCATTCAATCAGTGTTGTAGTTCGAGAGAATTCAACATAGAAAAGGTAATTGTTCGAGATAAATTTACTTTATATATGGTTCGACCTACCTACAACAAATTAGTCCATTATGAGCAGTAATGTTTACCCATTTGTTGAGATTCAATAATTGGCTGATTAATTCCCCAAGTTTTACTTTAATATTTGATTGCTTGTGTTGAGCTATAAGTTTGAATTGGTAGTTAAAACCCAGAATTTGAGATTTGAATATTAATTGTGCAAGAAATGTTTGATTGAAGAGATTGTCATTGCACTTTTATTAAAGTAATTCAAAGGAAGCACTACTCCCTATGGGATCGACCCCAACTCACGTAGTTGGGTTATTATACTGAAGAACGATCGTTGGCATATAGTATTGGATGAAATGCCACTTGATACGTTAATCAAAATGGCGCCACTGCCGGGGAGTAGCATTACTTAGAATTCTTTGATTGAAGATAATGTCTATAACCCAGCTCAATCGGGTGGGATGGGTGCAATCTGCATCCCATGAATTGATAAGAGTGCGATGTTTGAAGTCACTAGCACAACTCTTCATCTTCTCCAAATGAGGGGAATATATGGAGGGCTAGATCACGAAGAGCTGTATGAGCATGTGACAAATTTTACTGAGGTTTGCAGCCATTTTTCATTCAAAAATATGTCTCAAGAGTCAATTCGGTTGCGGTTATTCGCACTGTCCTTAACAAGAGAAGTTAATAAATGGTTAGCCGAGTTACCAAACAATTCCATCACATCATGGGAGGAGCTGGTTGTAGCATTTAACACAAGATTCTTTCCTCCATCAAGGATGATGAAATTAGAGATTCAAAGTTTCAAGTGACGGGAGGGAGAACCCATCCATGAAACGTGGGTGAGATTCAAAAAACTCCTACTTAAATGCCCAACTCATGGTCTACCAAATGAGTTGTTACTTCAATATTTCTATCGGAGTCTAGATTCGGTTAATAAAGAAGTAGTTGATCAATTGGTACGATGAGGAATAATGTTACAACCATTTGAGGTAGCTTCGTTTCTTCTGGATGAAATGACTAGGATAAACCAAGCAAGGTACACCCAAGAGGATCAGGTCTCTCCATTTCATTTTCGATTAACGCAAGAACAACTTGATAAAGAGAGAGAGATGAGAACATTAAGAAGATGTTAACTCAAATGGAAGTTCTACAAGAGCACATGAAGGGGACGTTTGGAGTATTTTGAGTTGAGGAGGGTTCTTCTTCCGGTTACTCAAGGCCGTGGGAGAATCAAGGTTGGAACTTCAAAAGATATGAGGAGGGTTTCCACCCACACCATCAACAACAAGGTGGAAATCAAGGTTGGAACTATAAAATGGGAGAAGAACCAAGAAGATATCATCAAGATTGGGCCGAGCAAGATGATTATTGGAAAAAGGTATATGATCATGAGGAGAACCATAATCACTCAAGTGAAAGCCAAAAATCAAATGGGAGTGCAGGCAGCCCCCAGGTGAATGATTTATTATCACGCATACTTAATAAAGTTGAGGGGTCGGATGATTTATTGAGAGGAATGAAAGATGACTTTTCATCATTAAACAATAAAGTAAATTCTCATGCTGATGCCATCAAAATACTTGAAGGACAAATGAGTCTATTATTAGCACAGTTGACATCAAAGATATCGATGGAAGATGATGAGAGAGGGCTAGCTGTAGTTACACGTACCGAAAAGGTGGCAATAGGCAATGTGATGGGAAATGAAGATACTCAAAAGCATGAAGAATGTAAAGGCATGGAGGAACAACAATCACTTATTCAACAAAACCTTGCTAAAGAACCGCAAAAAGAAGTGGAACAACTTGTTCAAATTCCAAAAGTTATGCCACCTTTATCCAAAATACCTCCACCATTTCCCCCAACGCTTAAAAAAGAAGAATGAGGATGAGAAGTTCAAGAAGTTCTTGTCGGTATTTCAAAAGCTATCAATAAACCTTACGCCGGTGGAAGCATTATTGGAAATACCGGGATATGCCAAGTTCATGAAAGAGCTAGTCACAAAAAAAAGGAACTTGGACTGTGAAACAATTGAAGTGTCCCATAGTTGCAGCGCAATCATGACTAAAGATATGATCACAAAAAGAGAAGTCCCCGGGGCATTCACCATCCCTTGCACCATTGCCATGCTCCAATTCGCGAAAGCTTTTTGCGACTTGGGGGCAAGCATCAATTTAATGCCCTATGCAATATACAAGCAACTTGGTTTAGGAGAACCGAAAGAAAGCACCATGAGACTCCTGATGGTGGACCAATCAATCACACATCCGATGGGGATACTCTACGACATCTTGGTAAAGGTAGATCCGTTCATCTTTTTGGCTGATTTTGTGATTTTAGATTATGAGATCGACGCCGAAATCCCCATTATTTTAGGAAGGCCATTCTTAGCCACGAGGAGAGCATTGGTGGATGTTGAAAGTGGAAAATTGAAGTTTCGGGTGTACGATGATGAGGTAACATTCAATATTTGTAAATCCATGAAACACCTAAGTGATATTCATGTGGTGTCTACTGAGGATGTTATTGATGAGGCGGTAGCTAGTGTGAGCCATTTAATGTGCATGAATAAACCACTTGAATCTGTGCTTACTAATTATGATGAATCCGAAGTTCAAGGCTATGAGGAAGTAGTAGCTGCCTTAACGGGATTACGAGCATATTCAAAGAATCTAATCAAGTTGGATATTGACCTAAAAAATAAAGAAAGTCCTCCTGCAAAGCCGTCAACTGAGGAACCACCTAATTTGGAATTGAAAGTCCTACCCTCTCATCTCCAATATGCTTTCTTGGGGAAAACAACACTTTAACAGTGATCATTGTAGCTGATTTGCTTGAATGGCAGGTGAGTTTACTCATTGAAGTATTTGGAAAACATATAAAAGCTATAGGATGGACCATCGCTGATATAGTGGGCATTCCCTCTGGTATCTGTACTCACAAGATTCAACTTGATAAGGATTGTATGCCTAGTGTAGAGCATCAAGGAAGATTGAACCCACCAATGCAAGAAGTGGTAAAAAAAGAGATCATTAAGTGGATGGATGCAGGTGTGATCTACGTTATTGCGGATAACAAATGGGTAAGCCCGGTGCAATGTGTACCCAAAAAAGGAGGTATCACTGTAGTCCCAAATGCAAACGAGGAGCCGGTGCCGACTAGACCGGTGACCGGGTGGAGAGTATGCATGGATTATCAGAAGCTAAATTCATGGATTGAAAATGATCACTTTCCAATGCCCTTTATGGATCAAATGCTTGCCCGGCTATCAGAGAGGGGATGGTAATGCCCCAACGACATTTTAGCGTTGCATGTTATCCATTTTTTCGGACATGGTAGAAGACTCTGGAGGTATTCATGGATGACTTTTCAGTCGTATGAGATACATTTGAAGAATGTTTGGCACACTTGGGGCAAGTAATCCAAAGATGCGTGGAAACAAACCTGGTTCAGAATTGGGAGAAATACCACTTCATGGTGAAGGAAGGCATAGTTCTTGGGCACAAGGTGTCACAAAAGGGATTGGAAGTCGATAAGGCAAAAATTGAGGTGATGGAAAAATTACCCTCGCCGATTTCAGTTAAGGGTGTTCGAAACTTCTTGGGACACAACGGTTCCTACCGAAGGTTCATTAAAGACTTCTCAAAGATTGCTCACCCCCTGTGCAAACTCTTGGAGAAGGAAGTGAAGTTTTATTTTGATGACGCTTGTATGATGGCGTTTCGATGCTTGAAATAAAAAATAGTATCCACCCCAGTCATTATCAGCCCTGATTGGTCCGAATCTTTCGAAGTGATGTGTGATGCTAGTGGCACAGCACATAGAGTGTTATTGGGGAAAAAATGCAACAAGCTTTTTCACCCAATTTATTATGCAAGCAAGACTCTAAATAGTTCTCAACGTAACTATACCGTCACCGAACAAGAGTTGCTTGTGGTAGTTTATGCATTTGAGAAATTCAGGGGATACTTGTTAGGCACTAGAGTAATTGTTCACACAGATCATGCTGCACTCCGTTACTTGATGGCAAAGAAAGATGCAAAACCAAGGTTGATAAGGTGGGTGCTACTATTACAAGAATTTAACTTTGAGGTCAAGGATAGAAGAGGTTGGAAAAATCAGGTGGCTGACCATTTATCGAGGTTGGAGGGCAAGGAGAATGATAAACCCTGAAACTGATATAGACAATTCCTTCCCTGATGAACAAGTGTTTGCAATCTCCCTTGAAAAAAACCCCTGGTATGTAGGTTTCGTAAATTACATTATCTGCGGACTAATGCCAGATGAGCTGAACTTGTACTAATGAAAGAGATTCATGTTCAACGTTAAAAAGTACTTCTGGGATGAACCTTACTTGTTTCGATATTGTGCAGATCATATCATTAGAAGGTGTATTCCAGAAGAAGAGGCGGTCCATGCTTATCATGCGTAACCAGTGGGAGTCCGCCATAGTTGTGTGCGTACAATCACTAAAGTTCTCCAGAGTGGATACTACAGGCCATCCCTCTACAAGGATGCATATGAATTTGTAAAAGGCATGAGTTACCCCCGACTCCTATTTTAGAATTGGAGCTATTTGATGTTTAGGGAATCGATTTCATCGGCCCCTTTGTGAGCTTGTTTGGAAATAAGTATATCTTGGTGGTTGTAGATTATGTTTCCAAATAAGTGGAGGCTGTTGCACTTCCAAACAACGAAGGAAAAAACATTGTCTAATTTTTGAAACGCTACATCTTTACGAGATTTGGCACTCCTAGGGCAATTATTAGTGATGGGGGATCCCACTTTTGCAACAAGTGGTTCTCTGCTGGGGTGAAATACAAAGTGGCAACGCCATATGATCCCCAAATAAGTGGCCAGGTTGAAGTGTCAAACCGGGAGATCAAAAGCATCTTGGCCAAACCGTGAATGCCAACAGAATCGATTGGTCTCGAAAGCTCTATGACGCACTATGGACATATCGAACCGCTTACAAAACACCTATTGGGATGTCTCCTTATCAACTAGTTTTTGGTAAACCTTGCTATCTACCCGTTGAGTTGGAACACAAAGCATTGTGGGCATTGAAAGCTTTAAATCTGGACTGGAGAAAGACCTCAAGGGGGAGAGTGGAACAGTTAAATGAATTGGATGAATTGCAATTCAGAGCTTATGAAAGTTTATCCTTCTACAAGGAAAAAATGAAGAAGTGGCATGATGCTAAAATCCTTAGGAGGGAGTTTAGAGTGGGAGACTGGGTGTTATTATACAATTCACGACTTAGACTCTTCCCAGGAAAGCTCAAGTCCAAGTGGTCAGTACCATTTAGAGTGAAAAGAGTAATCACCAATGGCACCATAGAAGTTGAGGGGCAAGAGGGACCTGCATTTAAGGTGAATGGGCAATGCTTAAAATTATACTTTGGAGAATGCCATGAGATTTCTTTAATTGAGGAGGTGTACCTGGAAGATACTTGAGAGCATCTTCACGTCGTGCCACGATGTTAAATAAGGTGCTTCTTGGGAGGCAACCCAAGTGTTAGTGTTTTGAATAATGTGTATTGATTTTGCAGGAGTAAGGATCATGATCGAGAAAGAAGTCTTACTGGTGAGTCACTAAATTATTTCGGCGAGTACGAGCACTCGACGATCAGTTCACTCTATGGACAACCGAGAAATTTAGTGAAGATTCCTTGTGACCCTGCTCTACTTGTTTACACACTAGATTGTTTTCATTTCTTGTCAATTTTTATTTATTGTTAATATTTAGCATACTTGCAATAAATACCTGCTATCTACCCACATTGGGGACAACGTTGACTGTTTTTGGTGGGGGTTTAGAGACTGCTCATGTCTAGATAACCTCAACATTGACAACACCCCTTGTTTGTGTGGAATGTAACTGTTCTTGTGCAAATTTGAGTCTCGGTTTTGATCAATATAGATGAATCAAATAGTGCTCATAATCGAACGAGCATGAATGTGCGGCTACGATGAGACCAAGTGAAGTTACATAATCACTATGTGAACTCCTTGCATCTCGGTGTGACTAGCCAAGTATCAAATTGATTCTCTTGTGATGAACGTTGCACACTAGCGAAAGTGTGGAGTCTTGTTTGGCTTTGGTGTCGATGCCTTGTGTAATGAGTTTACTGTGAACCATGCATGATAACACCTACAATTTGCCCCGTTGGTCCGGGCGACTAAGTAAGGCTATCTCTTGATATGATCTTAGGCAACTTCGAAGAGTGTGAGCCAATTTGACATATACCTCTTTTGTGGCCTACCTTGTGAATGTGTGAACCTCTTTTGAACACCCCTTGAGCCTTACCTTTCTTTGGAAGAAACTTGATGAAACCATGACCTTTCTTAATCCTCTACCTATAATCCTCTTGAATTATGGTTGATCGAATAGCCAACTTAGGCCAAAAACCTAAGTTGGGGGTGTGGTGAAAAGAGAAGGCAAGTCAGAAAGTGCAAGAAAAGTCCCCTTCAACCCATGGTATTGAGAAAATTGGAACCCCTCCATACAAAAAAAAAAGGAAAAAGTTGTGAAATAAAGTTATGAGAAATGTAAAAGTAAAGGGGGTTTCGAACAATCCATGGAAGTGAATAATGGGATGACTTATGAGCACTAAATAAAATGATGAAAGAAGAGGAAAGGGAGTGTTTAAAGCACCACATTTCACGAGGATGAAAGTCACTGAGCCTAAATGACCATACATTTGCACTCAGCCCCATTACAAGCCTTGAAAAGACCTTTTTGATCTTGAGTGAGCTGAAACAATTGTTGATTGGAAAATACGGGTAAACCTATGAGTGAAAGCATGCATTGTGTTATTCTTTGTGAGAGAAAGTGTTGCATTTGATTTCGGAACTTTAAATGATTAAACCATTGTGCGTGAATATGGAATCATTCTTTGTGTGAGGGCATTTGAATACCTTTGTTGAGCTCGAACTTGCATTTGAAGCAAGTATAGTGAGCTTGAGAATCTTTGACAATGGTGTGTCACAACTTGAGTCTTTGAATATATAATTGATCCTTGCATGAGTAAGTTGAGCCTTGTTGTGTACATTCATGATTGAGTTTTGTGTAGCACTATTTGAGACATCCTTTTTGAACTGCTGAACTTGAGTTTTACTTGAGGACAAGGAAAAGTTTAAGTTGGGGGTGTTAATGAGTCCACAATTTGGACTCATTTAAGGCTATATTTTAATAGAATTAGTGTCCTCAAATGCATATTTTTCTCAATAACTGCTGTAAACCCTTGAGTTTCATGTATTTGGAGTTAGAGACAACACCTGTACACTATTGGACAAAAAGGAACAAAGAAAGCCTTAGGAATTAATAAAAGAAGGCCTGATGATTGATGATGTCGATCGGCGAATCGCCAATATCATTTAGCGAAACGTCAAATAGCCAAGATACCACCTAAAGTTACAAAATATTGGAGCTAAAATGGGGGCAAATTCGGCTAGCAGCAACCATATTCGTTGTATCGCCAATCTAGTCGACAAAGGACAACCAGGTCGCCAAAAGTACGAAAGAAGATACAAGCAAGTGCTGATAGGCGAGATGGAAGGATAATGGGCAAATCGCGGAGTCATTCGACGATACCGACCTAGATCACATAAAGTTACAGTAGCCAGACCAAGAAAAAGCAAAAAATGAAGGTGAGATGAAAAGCAATCGGTGAATCACTGACCCGTCAGTGATACCCGACTTACTTCACCGAGAAGCCCTAAGCAGTGGCATTTCAGACTTGTTAAATTAGTTTTGGCAAGAGTGAGGAATTCATTCAGAAAGGGAAAAAAGAATTATTTAGGGAGAAAACACTACCAAAGGATTGGGGGAGATATTCTAGCATGATTTTGAGAGAGATTTTGTAAGAGAGAAGATGATCAATTGAATTTCATCTATAATTCTCATTTTGTACCCAACTATGGGAGTGATAATTAATTTTGATCTTTTTATTTTTGAGTTGAGTGGCAAAAACTCTTTACTTGGGGTTTTGATCATGAAGCCAATTGTTGAATGTACTTAATGGGTGTTTGTGAATTGCGAAGAATGGTGCTAAATTGAAGTGGGTCTAAGTTGTTGTTGTGTTTCGAGATTGATTTGCGTTACTTCGTGTGTCAATTTCAGTGTTGTGCACTTGCTCGAGAGAGAGGTGTGAGACCAAGGTGGCAATCTTAGCATCCTTAGCAGTGGGTTTCCTGAGTTTCAACTTGAGAGAGTGAAACAATGAACCCTTCCTTTGAATCCAACTCGAGAGAGTGAATTTGATGAGGGTAAAGAGCTGGGTTTCATTCAATCAATGTTAAAGTTTGAGAGAATTCAACATAGAAAAGGTAATTGTTCGAGAGAAAGTTACTTTATATATGGTTCGACCTACTCACCACAAATTAGTCCATTATGAGCAGTAATGTTTACCTATGTTATTGAGATTCAATAATTGGATGATCAATTCCTCGAGTTTTACTTTAATATTTGATTGCTTTTGTTGAGCTATAAGTATGAATTGGTAGTTACAACCCGGAATTTGAGATTTGAATATTAATTGTGCAAGAAATGTTTGATTGAAGAGATTGTCATTGTACTTTTATTAAAGTAATTTGAAGGAAGCACTACTCCCTGTGGGATTGACCCCAACTCATGTAGTTGGGTTATTATACTGAAGAACGATTGTTGACATTTAGTATTGGATGAAATGCCACTTGATACGTTAATCATGCGTCTCGTTTGACATTCGCCAGAGTATCACGTAAACTGAAAATTCTGGAGTGTGATTTTCTCGCATAAGTTGTTTGGAGAATATCCCAAGCTTCTTTGGCAGTGGAAACATGGGCAATGAGGGGAGCGATTGTAGCATCAACTGATGCCATAATGGCATTGCGAACAAGACTGTCTTGTCGCTGCAACAATCTCAAGTTGTGGTTCGGGATTTGGGTATTGTTTTTGTCCAGAATGTGTGCAGTTGGGATGGGAAGTGAACCATCAACAAAGGTAAGAAGATCGTAGCCAAACAATAGAGTGGTAACTTGGGATTTCCAAGTAGGATAATTCGCACTTCCTGTTAGCTTGAAGGATAGTTGAGACGTAGGGTTATAAGCGATCAATTGAGAGGGCTGAACGACACCCCCTTGATTGAGAGTGACTGCTGGAGAGTTAGGAGAGGAGGAAGTAGTAAGCATTCTGGGAAAAAGCAGTTGGAATTCTGGAAAAAAAAGGAAGACGATCGGATATACTCGTCAGAGTTTTAGGAGGCTCTTGATACCATATAAGAGTTGTCTTTGATTATGAAAGCATAAAATATTATTGATACAATGTGTGGTATGTATACATGAACAAGTATAGAAGAGAAAGGAGTTTGTTGAACATAAGAGACCTAAAGAAAAGAGAAACTAACTACGTATATGACTCAAACATACTAATGTACTAGGACTCTGTATCCTTATCCTTATCACATTGTTGTCTTAGCCACATTTAATGTTTTCTTTTATGTATGGCTGGAGGATTGGAAATTTTAAAACGTTATCCTAATTTTGTATAATTTCATGCCTTACCTGTTATTAAATTAGGGTCGCCTTTTTTTATTATAGTTCATCTCTTAGCCGAGCTTTTTCCTAGATTCATTTAATTTCAAAAGTTCTCCTGTTTTGCCTTAGAGTTTGTGCAAAATGCCACCTCAAATCCCTATGCACCATCTAGGTATGATTTAATGAAGTTTATCCTGGTTTCTAAAGTATATTATCATCATACTGATCATGAGTTGAGATATTAAGATGTAAGTTACCATCCCAACAGAGGCGAATCCAGGATTTGAAGTCTTTGGTGCAACGATATAAACATAGCTCAAATATGAGCTCTAGACTAAACTTATAATAAAAACAATAAAAAAAGGCTTTATAGTTGGATTCGTACCCTAGTCTCAAGTGTGGTATCTCTAGCTTGTACCAATAGCACAAGGGCACTTCTATGCTTTTCATGGGTGCACTGTTAACTTTATCCTAATTTCTACCAATTTTTCAAAATAGATATACATATATACATATGTTTTTTTTGGAAGTTAGTGGGTGCACGTGCACCCCCTATCCATACTGTGGGTTCGCCTCTGCTTAGTAGGAGGATAATGCTAAGTTATTCTTAAGCTCGCGATGATTCAATTGTGCCTCTTAATTTGATACCGCTCTAAAGAGATCTTTGTCCTCTGATTATCAACATTGTAGAAAACTCCTATTGTATTAAATCTTATTATCTTTAGTCGTGTTTTAAGAAAACAATGTGTTTTTAATTCATGATTACTTAAAGAGATTTTATTTTTGTTAAAATAGAACAAATTTATTATTTATTTGGTCTTTGTTTTTTGGCGGACTGTAAATTTATGAACATCGTAATTACTATGAACTAAGCTGCTTAAATGGGTACTTCTACAGAAGGTTTCCATAAATTGACACACTTTTACAAGGATCCCAAT